ACTTCTGTTTGGCGCTATACAAATAAAATTGAATTGAATTGAATAGATGCGACCATAGATTACTGAAGAGCCACTGCAGTCATGCTAGCAGACCAACCCGGTAGAGTCTTCTAGCATGAAGAAATAACATTTTTTTTAATCAACCTTTACCTCAAGAGCTGGACACCAAACTTTACCTGGCAGGCTGTTTGTTTGGTGAGTGTGAATAAAGCAGGCTGTACTTCCTTCATTGATTTGTTTCACACAGCCTTAGCTTACCACACATTCAAAAAATCGGAAACAATAAATTCATGTTTAAGGACACAAGCCTATTGCCTGTGCACCAACTGACCTTGTATCAACAGCAGAGTCAATCAAAAATGCCTCCAATTCATCAAACAAGCCAGGAGAGAGGTGACACTATAATGCAGTTATGGGCCTGGACTTTAAAGACAAAGGCTCATTTCCGCAACTTCACCCTGCCGGTTATAATCTTTGGTGGAAATAGGAGTTTTTCTACCTAAAGCAACCAATACGATCAATATCATTTCATTTTGTTTGCCATCAGCTGATGGATGAAGCGGAAAGGCTCAGACCAAGGACGCCCATCTAGATGCATCTTTCACTGCATAACCTTGTCAAATAGCTCGATCTCTGTGGGAGAATGTGTCAAGGTTGGATAATAAAGGCCAGAATAACAGTTTTAATAGGAGAGAGACTGGATGTCCAGACGGGGCTCAGACCAGTAAATATTTAGTACATGCCTACATAGCCTGTGCAAATATCAGAGGGTGCCATTTAAACATGCTTGTAGTCAATCATGTGCAGTTGATAGAAAATAAAGATGCCACATATTACGTTTTTGGTGAATGAAGATGACATTGCTGGTGGTGGCTAACCTGGGGGTCAGTATCCTCCAAGGGAACAGGAAATAAAGGAAGATAAATGTTGTTCTTTTTTAAATTGCCTCGTTTCATTGATTTCAAGGGGAATCTAACCGAATCCAACCTGGTGGCAGTCATTAAGAATAACTATGTAAAAATAGCCGAGGCAGATCAGAAAATGGTCAAATAAACAGTCAATTCACTATACAGCCACATGAGTTATTTTGCAAGACCATGAGAACCCATTTTGTCATTTATTCTGGAGGAATAGGTAGGCTGAGGGTCCTCTGTCATGGGATAACATCTCTCATTAGAGAAAATGTCTTCTCTCTCTGAGCTGGACACTCGATGCTCATTATAAAAACCCTCCCTGCATCTTCATTCTCCTCCCCATGCATCCTCAACGCATTTTTAATTCTAAAAGGAACAAATCTAATCAGACAGAGAGAGCCCTTTAATTAGACTGAAGGGTGGGCTGTAATACGTCTGCTCCAGCAGAGGATGTCTAATTGCAAATATCCATTTGTTTAGATGGAGGAGAGGCTTAGCACGCTTGAAATGTGGCACTCAGCTCAGAGCAAGAGTAGAGAGACGCCTCTAGGAACTCAGACTGAAAGCATGATAGCACTCGAGGCATGTTTATGTCTCCGGTTAGCTGGTTTTGTTGCATTAGAGTTACTGAACAAGATGTTCTTCTCTTAGTTAAACAATAAAGAACTCTGTAATGTGTTTAAAAAATGCAAACAACAAAGACACAGCTTCACCAAAACAGGGAAGGTTGAACAAGCATTCCTTGTAAAATATAAAACACACTTTAGATTTCAATATGTATGAAGGCACTCTTCTTCCCGCGGCACTGAGTTTTAGTCAACCCAGCAGTCAAAGCGTTACTGATCCAATTCCCTTAGAGTGGGGGGAAAGAGAGAGAGAGATGACTTTAGTCAGACCAGTCCACTAACTGAGAGACTTCCACAGTCTGTGCCAAGCATTCATCCAGCCTCATTAAAATTAATATCCTTCCCCCCAAAAAAGTCCCATTTTGAAGCAGAGACACACTGGATAAAAAGGGCAGAGGAGGAAGAATGAGAGGCCAAAGTTCTCAGACTACGTCAAGACAGAACGAACCTCCTTCTGAACAAACTGTCACCCTCACACGGATAGAAAATCGGTTGCCCTCTTTTAACAAAATGCAATGTCATAGTATCAGAAGAAAATGGGTTTCTGTTTTATCTTGGCTTGTCACAGTAGTACAACAGTACACTGCAAAGGCTTCCACTGAAGCTTCCCATGAGCGGACACAGACTGCTTACATACTGTATACTACGTGTTCTGACCTCTATCAAACAAGATTAAAATCAGCAGTTTGGATCTATCTTCCATTAATGCCCATCCTTTAATCTCAGTTACACATCCAAGTTCAATATCTCAAAATCCGGGGCGCCCAGCTCAGTGGGTAGAGCTGGCGTCCCATGTACCGCGGCTGAGTCCTTGCTGCAGCGGCCCAGGGTTCGAATCCGACCTGCGGCCCTTTGCT